GCAGCTGCGTAATGTGCTTTTAACTTTAAGTGGAAATTAGGGTCACTAGCTACTGGCCTGGACCAGTCACTCTCAACAAGGACTCTTTCAACGGGCAGATCTCTAGTTATATGGCTCGGCTGAGTGATAAACTAACTCCTCCCGCTTCCCACTGCTGGACTTCCAGTCATTAAGCAGGCGCTTGCACCATGGCTGGTGGAATAACGTGCACTGCTTTTTTGTGTTGTCAGAAACTGCTCGGTTGCCTAGCACCGTAGCCGCCTGCCCGGTCATCCTTTCTCACAGCTTTCTACACTGGTCAGCTCCCGAAGCTCCGCGACGGGGGCCACCAGAGGTGCTAATTGCAGCTCAGGGGGCGGCGCCGCGCCGCCTCCAGCCCAGGACTATGCTGCGCGGAAAGGCCCGCCTCAACGTGGAGTGGCTGGGCTACTCGCCGGGACGACTCCGCGAGCACAAGCCACGCCCGGCCGGGCGCACGCCACGCAGCCCCCGCGGACACGTCACGTGAGTACTCACGCTGCGCCTGCGCACGCCTCAGCCTCCGTCACCGCGCCGCGCCGCGCCTGCGTGCTTCGGCCGGCCGGCCGGAGCCGGTGCCCTTCCGCAGGGCCCGCCTGAGTCTGTTCTGCTCGGAGGAGTCGCTGATCCCGACCCGCCGCCGCCCTGTGCTTGCTGCCAGCACGGGCGACGCCATGGAGCGGCTTGATAAAGCGGCGCTGAACGCGCTGCAGCTACCCGAGTTCAGGTAGCCCTGAGCTGGGCCCGGTCCGCTTGGCCGGCTAGCCCTGGCCCGGAGCGGGGCTTGAGGGCAGGCCCGCCAAGAACGTGGTGGACGAGGGGCCTGGACCCTCAGGATCTGGCTGCGAGGCCGGGGGAGAGGAGGCAGCTTGGAACCTGGCGGGTCGGTGCTTCCGGACCCAACCGTTCGCTCACTTGGGAGCAGGAGATCCAGGGTCATGGGGGATAGGTAACCTCAGCGGGCCTTCAGCTCAGGCTTCTGCCCTAGCACTTCCTCTTGCTGCCATCAGTATTGTGCTTTTACTATTTCCAGTCTCTCTCCTACTGCAGGATGTGGTCTCTGAGGACAGGAACCTGGCCTCCTTCTTCCCCAAGTCCCCTACTGAGACCTGCATCGCTGGGTTTATTAAGTGTTTGCTGTGTGAATGAAACAATGGAAGGAGGCAGAAGCTGGTCGTCCCCTGTTTCTCTTGAGGAAAACCAGGCAGTAGGATTGGGCAGGGGGACTAGTGGCTGAGCAGAAGCAATCTGATGAAAAAGCAGGTGTTTCAGCCCTATCTCCGTGGGCAAAGAGATGGGTGGGGAAGGAATAGCTACCATTTATTGAGGTATACTGGGCCGGGCACTTTACATACATGATCTAATTTCATAATTCTGAGTTCCTCTAAATGCTTACT